TGCACTTGCCTTGGCTAGCACATTGAGAAGGCAGCAAAATCACCATGACAGCCCTGTCTGTGCGGTGCCATGGCAGGTTGGCTCCTTCTGCTCCAGAAGACAGAGAACTTGGGCTGTAATTCTTCTCTTTCGCCATCCCTGACCTCAGCTCTCATTTTTCGCTGGCAGGATCAGGAAGACCAGCCTGCATTCTAATCCCTTCCCTCCTCCTGCCTTCCCTGTGCTTCTGCCCAGCCTGCGGCTCCTTGTCCTCGAGTGGCAAAGCTTGGTTTGTGGGGCCAGGGCTGAGATAACATCTGCCCCTGCTCCTGCATGGTTGTTGACGGGAGGTGCTCAGGGCTGGGGTGGTGTTGATGAGCTTTTTAGTGCCTCTGCAACCCTATGTGCAAAAAGGGGCAAATCTGTACCCCTCGTTTCGCCTAGTGGTGTGAATCTTAAGGACGTTCTTATTCCAAAATGTGTCATTAAGGAATTAAATCCTGTTGGAAGTCCCAGATGTGCTCACAAGTAATTTTTGTGCTTTTGAAAGTAGTGCCATAATGTATTAGTATTTTTAGATCACTCGGATATTTTCAGCTGGAGGAAAATCTTTTATTTTCTTTGTTAATCGTGCTATGAATAGATCTTAGGCTACTGAGGAGAAATGAGTCAATATGTTGAAATGGTGGTCCCTTGTGAGTTCAGGTGTACACCTGGCTGCTCTGAATTGCTTACTGAGCTGGGCTGCTGGAGTGGTGACAGCTTCTACCAGCTGCGGATCTGTCCCAAAGTTTCCTGGGCTTTTTACGAAGACGTGGCAAGCTGCCACTGCTCCCAGCTCCTCAGGGCTGTGGATTAATATCACAGTTTAGACCCTGATCTTTCAGTATGAATCAAGATGGGCCCCTGCACTATTCAAATTGTCAGTAAAGAAACTTAGAGCATCATCATCATTCCTTAGCTGATTTCACTCCTTGAGATACGGTAAGCAAAAGATGTGCATGTAATAATCACAAATGAAAGGTGGACGGAATCAACCAGAGGGAAAATGTTGGAAGATATTATTAACATTTGGAGATTTTCTAAGTGATGGACTTCACCCTTTTCTGGAGTGAATCAGCATACTCAAGCTGACTGCGAGAGCTACAGTGGAGTCCTGTGTCTGGACCTCTGCACACTGGCTTTAAGGTTTTCAAGAAGTTGGTGCACAGGAAAGCCAAGGTGGCTGAGTCTCCATTACAGCTCAGTCTTAGGCATCTGCAATGGGATTGCCGACAAGTAACATGTATTATAGACATAAAACGCTAACCACGAGGTGAACCCGGCTCTATCAATAGGCAGAATAAGCAAAGGAGAAAGAATTATCAGGGGTAGAGGATTTAAATACCTTTGTGTGGGTAAATTATCAACTCATTTCTTATAGCTTTTCACTGGCCAAAGAGAGAATATCTCTGGAGACATTTTACTGAAGGCAGAAACCCAATTAGAATAAGATTGTTACACAACTAATAAAGTGTTTTCAGACAGAGAATTATTTTTAGTGCTGTAGAAATATTAAAACGTTAGAGCGAAACATGTAAAAGCAGAGCACAGTTAGAAACTTTTCATGGTCTTTAGGCTCCTAGATCACTCATTTTTGAGGATCAGTTTGTGTTCTGGCAGTTTACAGCACTAGCCGGTTTTCCCCATTGCATTCACCCATGCACAGTGACACCAATGCCAAATCTTATTTCTTTTCCGAGCTAATGCCATTCTGGATATGCTAGAAACTTGTGCTGTCAGAAACGTGGAAGCACATGTGTTCAGTGACATACTCTGGTTCCTTGCCTCCTTCAACTGGGTGAACATTTACAGGGGTCAAAAAACCTCTAGTCCTGAAATCTTTATGTTAAACTAACAACCAAGGATGCCAAGAAGTTCATGCGCCGTGGCTGGGAAGCGATGCATAACTGCTTCTGCATTAAGAAGACCCATTAGTTAGCAAGATGCAGTCATGAATTGTTTTCATAAGCGTATAATAATTGCATGTATTTGCCGTGCGGCTTTATGTTTGAGATTATTCTCCACTCCTTTTTCTTACACACTGTAGTTCATTTAGGTGGTCTAAATACTTAAGATCTCCTCCTTTAGACAGAAGCAAACCCTCTCAGCGTGACCCTGCTTGGAAGTTAGGGACGTGGCGGAGCGAGTCCCCAAGAGCACACAGCACTTCCTCTGACCTCGGCAGAGATCGAAGGTGCTCAGCTCCTCCTGGTTCACCGAGCCTGTGATGCGCAGGTTGGATGCCAGTCTGAAACATGAACTTCTCCGGTGACAGTGCTGAAACCGTGAAAGAGCCTGCATTTGGCCATGGCGTTGCTTCTCCCCAGTGCTGTCAACACCAAGACTCAGGTTGCAATAGCAAAGTAGAAAGCTGCTGCTTCAGTGATTATTGCTCAGACGTTGATGTACCTGACCATCTCTCCCTCCGCATCTCCCCACAGCACCATTTCTGCCCTATCTCATAATTATGTTTCTTTATAAACAGTAATTTAGGACAATTAGGAGCAATAGCATAGTTAAACCTTTAAAAGGTTATCTCGCAATGTCATTTTCTTGACTAATGTGTTCCTGCTGCCATGTCGTTTGTGAATAGACATGTGTTAGCCAGCTAGTGTGCTTCATCTGTGGTGACTTTGATTTATTTGCTCTGTAAATTGGGACTGAAGCAATAATGGAAAGTGACATTAATTGTTTAACAGAGTCCTCTTTGTCACATCCTGTGCTTTCTCTGGGGTGTTTGAATGTTGAAACTTGTACAAAACTAATTGAAATTGCTGTGATGAGGACCGGTGTCCACTCAACTTTCTGTTCTTGAATGTCAGCACACTTGAGTGTCTGTTTAAAGCACAAGAGCTGAGCAGCTAACAGCAAATATCAGGGTTTCTTCTGGCATGCTATTATTAAAGAAGGCATTCCCCATTAGAAATAGTAACACTTCCAGCTTTGTTGTCAGCTTTATAAGCTGCAAGGCTCAGTAAGGGGGGTGGGGGGGTGCCCCACCAGCTAGACTTGCTGGAGAAGTTCCTGGTGCGGGGTGGGGGGGCAGGCAGCCAGAACCCCCCTGCAGCCACCCCGGGGCTGAGGGCTGGCTCTCACCACCATTCATCCCACTGCCTGCAAGGGGTTTCAAACACCGTTGGAAAAAAAGTCAGCACTTCGTTACATTGCAAAGCGCTTTTTCGCCTGATAACGCCTTTTCGTACTTTTCTAGAAGTGACGCTGTAATGTTACTCTTCGCCTCTCAAAAAGTGTCTGTGAAAAGCTGCATTTGGAGCGTGGTTTTATTCACAAGGTGGCTTCCCTCTGCTTATTTCCATCCTCTGCACACTGAATTTTCACGGCACTGTGCATGTGCCTGCTTGGTATGGTGGAAATCACCAGATCCTGGGACTTAGACTCTTTTTCTCAGTGGCGAAGCTCCTTTTGGCCTTTTAAGTAAATGCTTCTCCTTAGCATTAGCTTTGCCTGAGTGTTTGTTTCTTGGGGATGATGCTGTAAGCACCAGCACAGTCTGTGCTCTGCCGTAGCTTTCTTGCTCAAAGACAGAGCTTTTCTGTAAGAAGCTGTGAGGTGTGATTTGGCAGAGAAGCCTGGCAGGAGCAATTATCTGTGTGGTTTATGAGCATTTCTGTTTGGAGTCTGGTAGATACAGTATTACTGAAAAAAGTCATTCTAAGGGGATACCCAGATTTACTTTATTTTTTTTTTTTCTTTTGTGAGGTGTTACTAGCAATGCTTTGTTGTTGACTTTTTTAACTTTTTTTTTGTTTTTCAAAGGGAGAGCTTTTGTTTGTCTTACTGGTGTATTCCTTCCTAGTTGACTTTTGAACTATGAGATTTGAACTTAGCTGAAATCTCTTCGCAGTGTGAACCTGGAGCGTGATGAACCACTCTGAAGCTGGTGGAAAAACTCCCAATTTGCTATCCCTGGAATCAGTGAAAGACTTTTCATTTGTTTTAATAGCACTAGGATCAGCCTAGGAATCCTACATAATTGATCTGTCAAGATCAATTTCCAATCTTTCTGAAAAATAAATATAATGATTTTTACACAATTCTCTTCTACAGAACTCTCAGTACTCCAAAAATCTGTACCTTAATATGCAGTAGGGACTATATTTCATTAAAAAATCAGAAGGCATTTAAATTTACTCAATTTGACAAAAAGAAGTCTTGTTGCTGAAATAAGATATCTAATATAAATTACCATTACAGCCACATCTGATTAGGAATTAATCTACTTTTTATAATTGCAGTCTGAATTAGATAAACGCATACAATAGTCGCATTGAGCACTCAAACGACGTAACTCGAAAGGACAACTTCAAAGGCAACCTGCTTAATACATTTCCTTAAAAGAAACCCAAAGAGCCTGCCATCTACAATATGAGTCCTAATGGCCAGTCTTATGCCAAAATGCTCAGGAGTGAGAAGGTTTTTGCTTGGCTTTGGAGCAATGACTTCCAGAAGTATGGAAGGGAAAACCTTCTTCTCTTACACCAGGCCGCGTATGTGAACAAGGTTTTCCAGATTTCACTGGTGATTCATTTTGGTCTTCTGATTACCTGTCTTATTCTGATTCTTGTAATTTTGTCAGGTCAATTAGCTGATGTTCAGCATTGAAAAGAGAAAGAAAGAGGCAGCCTGGCTGACACCATCATTAGGTGTCAGCAGCTTAGGCACATCCTGTAATACAATCCCTGCGTGATTACTTTCTGTTGTTAACACCAGATAAAAAAAAAAAAAAGAGTCGTGGAAAAAAAGTAAACTAGAGCCATAGAGTGCGAGTGCAAAGAGATTTCTCTTGAACGCAGAGATGGATAATCTTATTGTGCTTAATTACATCTTCTGAGATGCTGTTGCAGGTTACTGTTTCAAGGGCTGGTTTAACTGTGTTTTGACTGCTTTTTCACATACAGAGGCATCGTTTTTTTCCTTCTCTCACCTGGTTCCACTTTTTGTTTTGTCCCCTCCCACAGAAGATAGATGAAGAGAGCGAGGCAAACTTGCTAGCCGTTCTCACTGAAACCCTGGACAGCATCCCTGTGGATGAGGATGGATTGCCTTCATTTGATGCACTGACAGATGGAGATGTGACCAACGAAAATGCCGCTAGCCCTTCACCAATGCCCGACGGCACCCCTCCAACTCAGGAGGCAGAAGAGCCGTCTCTAGTAAGAACCCTTCCTACTGTTTAACAGGAATTGGATGTGCCTCTGGCTACCCGCTGCATGGGTATGATGTAGTCACAGTAAGGTCTGGACTTTTCATTTAGACTGGAAAGGAAAATCAAGTAAAGAACTGAAAACTAAGCGGGAAAAACCCCACCAAGTAGACATAGGATGACTAATAAGGCAATCTATTAAAAAGTGTGTTGAAGAGATTGTTTTTGAGATTCTTGTGCTAATGGCTGACACTTCCGCTTATCATTCTGTTCAGATAAGCCAGGGTAATGGTTTTTAATTCATATTTCATTTCTCGGGGCTCTGTTTGTGTGAATGTTTAGATGTCACTTTTGGTGATCTGTAAAGAAGGGCCCATTGAGTCTGGCGGGATGTGGGGCTAATTTTGTGCCTTTAACATTGATTTGACCAGTAAGCACCAGCTTAGTGCTAATCAGGGCAAAACTGAACCTTGGGTGAGGATGTGGGTGAAACCTTATATGCATTTTGCTCAGTAAAACCAGTTTGAGATGTGATTCTGTTTCTGCTGAACGCCCCTTATCACTGGCTTCTGCGGAAGCAGAGCCAGATACCTTCATCTTGACACCGTATCCATTAGTCTGTCCACGTTAACGCCTCTGTTTAGATCAGAGGCCTCTTCTGTCGAACAGATCACCGAGAATTTCATTTTGCCATGGATTCAGAGATCCAAGACCCTTGTCATTTCTGCTTGCCCTGCAGTATACTGCAGTAAAGGGAGCAGAAATACACTGCCAAGCCAGAAGAAAATGAAGTCTCTTTGCTCTGGGGAATATCGAGTCCTTCTTTCTGTTTTATTGTACTTTGCTTGCTGAAATTGATATAGCTAACTTTAAGTAACTATGCAAAAATTCAGATAAGTAATTTTAATCCATAAAGATGCATAACTTTACTCTTTTCCTTCCACCTCCCTTTCCCTGATGTGTTTGTAGCTTAAGAAGCTCTTGCTGGCTCCAGCCAACACTCAGCTAAATTACAATGAATGCAGTGGTCTCAGCACACAAAACCATGCAAACACTAATCACAGGATCAGAACAAGCCCTGTGGTTGTTAAGGTACAAACTTAATCTTTGTAATAAGGAAAAAAGGAAAAAAAAAAAAGAAAAAGTATAATAAGGTCTTTTATGCTTTCAGCAACCAAGCAAGCAGTAGATCTAAGTGTATTGTATTAATCTGCCTACTATCTTGCAACTGCTTTAAAAAAAAAAAAGTGAACAGATCATAGACTGGGCTCCAGAAAATCACCTGAGCTCCTTTATGCTCTGAATATTTCATTTATGCTTTTTCTCTTGGCAGAGTTCAGTTGTAGTCCCACCGTCTGTTACTCTCGCCTACTTTATTGATACACAGAGTAGTAGGGGGTACGATAAAATTTGCTGATGGGCTGGTGTTGTTTATGAGTGACTCCGGGATGTGGGACTGCCATTTTACCAGCTGTCTGAGCTAAGAAAAATGACACTGGATTCTTGGCAAAAGATGTGTATCAGCCATTAATTGGATAGAATGGGGGCTCTGACATAATTCTGTTAGCAGGCAGTATTAAACAATGTTTGTCTTGCCATCCACTGTAACTGAAAACGGAGCGTTTAGGGGTACTTAAGAGAGTTGTGAATACTGGGCTCAAGCGATCAGCAGCAAATTAAGGTTTAAACCAGCTTATTTTTTTGTTCACAGTAAAGGCGCTGTAGGGTCTTGTTAGTTACATGTTGCTGAGTAGGAACATTGAAATGTAGGAGAAATGAAATAAAAAGCTGCATAAATGTCATTTAGGAATTTTAAATGTAATTTTCTTTCCTTGTTCTGCAAACAATTATTCACAGCTCATAGATCTAGTACACTTAGACTGAACACTTCATTGAAAGTCTCATCTCTTCAGAAAACCTATATCCATTCTGATAAGGTTCAGCTCACTAATTTTAGCTTTTTTTTTTTTATTTGATTTTATTATGCCCTGTTCTTAAGACTGAGAATTCATGGAGCAATAAAGCAAAGAGCATTTGTCAACAGCAAAAGCCTCAAAGACGTCCCTGCTCTGAACTTCTCAAATATCTGACTACGAATGATGACCCTCCTCAGACCAAACCAGCAGAGAACAGGAACAGCAGCAAAGAGAAATGCACCTCCAAAAGGAAGCCCCATCTGCAGTCTCAGACAAATCATCTGCAAGGTAGGTGTGGGACGTCAGAACACAGCTTCGGTACCAGCAGTAATGCAGGAAGCTGAAATACCACGGTTGTGAATACCCTCGATACCTCTTCTGTTCTTTGGATTAGTATTGTAAATCTGGCATCTCTTCTGTGTAGGGA